CAATGAATCGGTGTGCGGCCAATCTTGATTGATTCCAACTTCATAATACCATGTTCATTACCTAAACGCGATATCTCGCGATACGGTATCTCTCCGTTCTAAAACGAATTCTTATTCTTGCCACGTGGATGTCTTATCAAGTTCTTTGCACTTTAACCATGTACGAGGGGTCTATTGATTTGCATAACTAAATATTTTGAACGATCAACACGAGTCCAGTGTAGACACAGCTATGCATTGTAAGGCTTCAGGGGGAAACAACTTTTCTTGAGAAAAAACAACAGTAAACGTGACGCTCAGCATGCCACTTGATAGACTTCAGCAGCACTAGTCTCCGAGTTGCCCTCTGCGCGAAAAGCAAAGACGGAAGTGAAAACCCCCATTTCTGGACGCAGCCAAACTGCCGAGTTCAGTGAGTTTATTTGAGAGTTTTGTCCACTGATATGTTACCGGAATCAGTGTGGCGCCTCTCATAGGTCCAGAAGGTAGCTTAATGTGCTTTTGACATATGTTTTCACCGGCTGTAGAACTTGAATTTTAGTTATATAGTAAAAGGACTTGACTCACTGAAACCTACCCCGTGGCTAGCACATACAATAACGTAAGGGGAAGACAAGAAGACGAAATCGACCATGATGTTCATGCCGAAAATGCATATTCAATCAGCGCGTTATACCTGCAAGATGCCTGTTCGTTTACTGAACTGTTCAAATACTTTTACTCTCTCCAACCCACCAATTTCGTGACAGTTCTCCTGAAGACGAAAAGCAGACGCATTTTGTCCTCTATAAGAAGATGAGCCCAATGAAACCCGCATTCTAAGCCCGTTGTTTTTAATTTTGACGTTCTTAGAATCACACGTGTCTTCTGCAATTCTTGCAGATACGTTTTTATGAACAGTTGAATTTTCAAACCAGCTGGTTATCGAACTCGTTCCCCGAATGAGGACTTTGTGCCTGAGGGCAAGAAATCGACTTTTAAAGAGGAATGCTACGTAAACGGCGAAGCGGCAGCTATGATGCAACGTATTACGCAAATAAAAATTTACGGCATCGACTTGGCTGGTGAGAGCGAGGAAAGCAGCAATGTTATGGAGAGTGAAAGCGGCGTAGAGCCACGGCCTAAGGCGCCAAACAAAGGACCAAGTGGGCGACGTGAGTCACGCGCGAAGTTAGACAACCGACCGGCGCGCACTGCAGCGCCGAGCACGCGTGGTGGCTTTGCTCACGTGTGCGGCCCAATCAATGGATGGCCGAACATTCCAGACGTTTCCGCGGCGGGGTCATCGCGCACGCGGTGGCCAATCAGCGACCAGCACGCTCGGGACAGGAACATTCTAGAACGCCCTCTATGACTGGCACGTCATTGGACGGAATGTTCCAGAACGCACGGGAGCCAATAAATAGCACACCTTTCTTACGAGTTGCAACTCCCTCCTGTCCGCAAGTTCCAATAAAGTGCTTGTCCTCCGAACCGGCTCTCTTCCTGTCCTACCTTCCTACCGGGTCATAACAACTGGCGACGCAGGTGCAGCAAAATGATATCAGAAGATCAAATGAAGCACATACTGGAGGCCCAGCAGGCCAGCTTCATGGCATTACTCACGGAAATGCAACGAAATTGGGGACCGGCATCCAAAGAGAACAAGAGGAAACAGATCGAACAACGGATCAACGAGTTCGTTTACGATCCAGAGGGAGGCGTAAATTTCGAAGCCTGGTTTCGAAAGTACGAAGGACTGTTCGAAGAGAAGGGAGCAGAACTGGACGACAAGACAAAAGTGGAAATCATTCTGCTAAAACTGGCCCAGCGGGAACACGAGCGGTACGTAAAGTTCATTCTGCCTCAGAAACCATCAGATGTCTCGTTTAAGGACACAGTCAAGCATTTGAAAGCATTGTTCTGTTTTACATAGTCTTTATTCAATCGACGTTATGAATGTTTCAAGCTAGAACGTAAGCCTGAAGAAGACTATTTTGACTTGGCCGGTCGAGTTAATGATACTTTTCAACAAGCCGAGCTAGAACAGGCCACCAGCACACAGATTAAAGCAC